ACGAACTTCACCTTGAATCTTACGTTACATCGATACATTTTTTTGATATACATTTAATTGATATAATTACTAATGTTTATTGTAAGGACATGTCTAGGTGACATTTATGTACAAAATTATAATATGAAATATTATTTTTCCCCAATTGATATACCGGGTGCCCTCAAAAGTGGCTCACCCCTATAACTTTTTTATTTTTTCAGATAAAAAAAACAAATTTTTTATGCCAGTATATGACGTAAATTAGGATTGATTGACGCATTCAATTGTTTGTGTCACTTCCGATTTTACCGGAAATGACTACCACTTTTGATTTTTAAATGGCATCTTCACTATTTTTTTACTTTATTCGATTGAAAATGACACTCTGAATAGAATGAATATCATGTCAACTTTTGACATTTTTGTTTACAAAAAAAAATATTCTAAATTTGAAACTAGAGTGACAGGCGCCACCCTGTATTCTTCTTCTTCCTGTGCCTTGTGCTTAGCCGCACGTTGGCGATTGTCTGTACTCTTCATACAATGTGTAAACTGCCGTTTTCGGCTCTTCGAAATATTGTGGCTGCGTCGCTGATGTTACACCAATCCCGTATGTTTCTTAGCCAGGAATGTTATTTTCTTCCTGGGCCTCGCCGTCCCTCTATTTTTCCTTGTAGAATTAGCTTAGGAATGTAATATTTGTTTCCTCTAAGGATATAGCCGAAGTATGAGACTTTCCTTTCTTTAACTATATTAAGCATTTCTCGTTCATAGCCTGCAGTTCTTAAAACTTCTTCGTTGGTGGCATGTGCGGTCCATGGCACACGTAAGAGTCTCCGGAGAGTCCACATTTCGAAAGCTTCGATGCGGTTCAGGGTTCTAGCCTTGAGAGACCAGGTTTCTGCACCGTATAGTAAGATGGGCCATATGTAGCATTTCACTACCCGTGGTCTAAGTGTTAGCGGGAGACTGCGTGCTAATAGGAAGTTTTTAAGTTTAAAAAATGTTGAATTCGTAATAAGTTTAACTTCCTCATCGCAGTCCCATCGTTCATTGATCATGGCACCCAGATATTTAAATCGTGGAACTCGCTCTGTAATATTCCCATCCACGGTCAATGCGGTGTTGATTGTAGGCTGGCGTCCTATTACCATAAGTTTGGTCTTGGCAGCGTTGATTTTAAGACTGAAACGATTTCCCATGTCCCCTATCTTATTTATTATTTGCTGGAGATCCTCTAAACCCAACGGTTGAGTCATCGAAATTTCTGTAATCATCGAAATCTATCTGTAATCATTAGTTGAATTTTGTTTTCTATAGATACACATGGCTCCAATTCTATCAAAAAGTAAAAGAAAATCGGTCTTGCCTTTTTTATTTTTTCAGACAAAAAACATAGATCTGGTATGTTGGTCTGTGAGATTGATTGACGGAATTCAATTATTGTCGGTCACTTCCTTTATAGTTTATAGGGGTGAGCTACTTTTGAAAAACACCCGGTATAGGAGGCGGTCACATGGCAGTTACATTTTCTATATATTTTAGTTTTAACTGCACAAGCCAGTTTGCGCAGTTTTACCCTAAATTATCGTGAGTTGAACCGGTCTGTTGAGATAATGATATACTTCTACGCTGTCCCTGTGTACCCCTTCGCTGTCTCAGGCCCGTGGCTCCCGTTTTACTAAAGACTTCACTGCTCGTCATCGGTAAAGAAGCTAGAATACAAGTTATGTTGTGCATTGGTTGTAAAATGTTTATTCAGTAAAAATAAATAATGAAACCATTGAAAAATAACTTAAAAGCTAAAATAAATAAATTCAGTCTCAAAATATATAAAAAATAATTATTATTCCATATTTTAAACAAAGAAAATCATCCCTTTATTTAATTTCCTAAATAGAAAATGCCATTGGCAATTACTGGGGCTTGATAATTAAATAAATATCTGCTTCCATTTATACTGTTTATAGTTGGCGTATATGTATGGTTTGCATACTCCACCTACAAACTGCTTCATAACTACTGAACACATATTGGCCTTGTTTGTCAGTTGAATAAAAAATTAATTATTAAGATTTGGAGGCCCCCTAAAAGACGTGGCCCGGGGCGGACCGCCCCTTCTGCCCCCCCCCCCCTTATTCCGCCACTGTCTTTTTTCTAAAATAATTTCTTAAATTATTAATCTTTTTAATAACTTTAGTTTTCTTTAAAACATTTTGACATTTCCCACTTAACTTTGGGGCATCTTCAAAAGTTTTTATTATCTTGAGATTATATTTTGTTTTGTCAGCACTTTGGATATTCGTGCTATTCGACAGATCTTGCTTTAATAATTTACTGTATGTTAAGGATAAAAAAGCCATTAAGTATTATTAAAGCAAGACCTGTCGAATAGCACGAATATCCAAAGTGCTAAAAAAATAAAATAAAAATCTCAAGACAATAAAAACTTTTCAAGATGCCACAGCGTTAAGGTTGAAACGTCAATATGTTTTAAATAAAACTAAATTTACTTATTTAATGAACAACTCTCATTTCTCAACCCAAGAAAGGATGAATGATTTATAGTTATGAAATGGCTCAAGAAAACTTCATGCAAATAAATTACTTTTTAGTTTTAAAAGTGTTTAGAAGTAAATATGTTTTGGTGTATTGTGGTGAATTAGTGTTTTAGTTACATTCAAGCCATTCTAAAAAATATAGTTCTTATAAGACGGTATTTTACAATCTTGTAAAAGACTGTAACAGAACTAAATTGCTAAAACTCTATTTTCCTAAATAAATTGCCTTGGCTCAACTTTCTCCGGGAGCGAATAGGGGTGCTGGTTGGGGTAAAACATATTTTGGAGGAATAATAATTCTTGTAGAATAGATAATATAAGTTTTTGTAAACTATAAGTACTTCGGCATATTGCACTTATTCTTGTTTTTTATTAAAGCTTTACGTAAATAGGGCTGATTCAAAACAAAAAATCATTGGATCATGCAGTTTTCTTTTATATTTTAATAATTAACTGTGATTTTGCAAAAATATTAGATTGGTTAGCATTTGCGTTGCTTTGGTTGGCTTTTCTTTGTGGAGGGTCTTAAACTGTGGTTTTTATATTTTAATAATTAACTGTAATTTTGCAAAAATATTATTAGATTCGTCAGGATTTGGGTTGCTTTGGTTAGCTTTTCTTTGTGGAGGGTGTTAAGCTGTGGTTTTTATATTTTAATAATTAACTGTGATTTTGTAAAAATATTATTAGATTGGTTAGCATTTTAGACACTATTAAATGTTTTTTTTTTCGTTCAAAAGTGCTTCATCCAAGGATTTTTTTCTTTTAAACTGTTCTATAAACATAGGACTTTCTGCAAAAAAAGCTAAATTCGTGACAAGACCCGATAATACAATAAGAAACAAAATGGAAAATAAAAATTAAGCATTTCCACAGGAAATTTTTTATTTTCCTGAGTTTGTAAACGCTTCTAAAAGGCAAAAATATATTTATTTTTTATATAACTGATTTCGGCTATTCTAAAGTCTATTAAATTTCCTCAGAAAATGGATACAGTTTATTTCCGCAGGAAAATTTTTGTATTCCTCAATTCGTGAATGCTTCTAAAAGGCAAAAATATATTAATTTTTTATATAACTGATTTCAGCTATTCTAAAGTCTAGTAAATTTTCTTAGAAAATGAAAACAGCTTATTTCCGCAGGAAAATTTTTGTGTTTATATTATGTTCAGAAAAATATTAAAAATTAAACGCAAAATGTATTTTTTTATAGCAGGTTTCAGTTATTCTAAAGCGTGAAATTTGGAAATATACGCATATCCGCAGGAAAATTTGTGTTTTGCGTGGTTCACAGTAGCTTTTTAAAGACAAATTTTTTTTTTCTTATAACTGATTTTAGCTAAACGAAAGTTGACCCATTGCCTTTAGTTTGCTTTAGTTGTTCTACAGTATGAAGTGTTCATAAGCTGCGGCTTTTTTATTCCTGTCACATGGCACGATTTTATATAGTTCAATACATTGGTATAGAACTGTTTATTACAAATCGACATTTTGTTTTCATTTAATAATAGACTGAAAATATCTAATCTACGGATTGAAAATATAATCAAACTGAAAAAATGAACGAACATACATATGTTCAGGCTTCGAATAAATTCGCACAGGCCGAATTCAGTATACACAGTACATTCTTGTACAGTCAGTCGGTCGGAATTATCCACATACCGTTTGCATAGGCGGCCTGAGCGATAAAACTGGGCTTCTGTGGGACCCTTTAAACAGAAATATTGTATTATATTGGGTAAACACTTTTTTAACTTGTAGTACTTGCATTATGCTCGGAATTATTTTTTTTCGTATTTTTTACAATGTTGACTCTCAATAAGATTGATTCTATTGAGATATACAGATCATTTTGAGAAATATACAAGGTGTCAAGTTCAACCCCAGAAACACGCCAATGAGGTTTTTTCGCGAATAACATTTTTTGAAAATTCGAGATTTTTTGAAAATTTTTTTGGATTTCTTTTTCAGTTTTTAGTGAAAAAACATAATTTCTTGATAATATGCCAACATAGGTATTAAATTAAATTTACATGAAAGAAAATCCAAAAAAGAGTCAGTGGTTCTCAAAATTTTAACAAAAAATATATTTTTTTTAATTTTCTAAGTAAAATATCTCCGTTATTTTGAGCTTATTTGAAAAACGACAAAGAGAAAATATGCTTCTTTTATCGATATCTACCACCCTTTAAAATACTTGCACTTATTTCTGGGACACCCTGCATTTACATTTTCATCAAGATTAAATTTTCAATTAATAATTTTGATTGAACATAAATATATTATATAGATATATTAATATTGCTAGAAGTCATTGTAACAAAATATTAAGATGCATTGTCAGCACATTATTTGTGTTTAATTTTAAACATCAATGTCGCGAAGGTAGTCATTAAACTTTCAACTTAAACAAAACGTGATTAATAAATTTTGTAAATACTTTTAGAGTTTGGCAGGTTATAAATATTAGAAATTGTTAGCAATAGTGTTAATAAGTAGTCCAAGTAGTTTTGTGTAAGATAGTGATAATGACATTAAAGGAATATAGAAAAATACAGTTGTTGTGTTTTGTGGGTGCTGTACTTATTAAGGTGAGACTATAATTCTAAATACTAAAAGTAAATCGTATGTTTCTGTTGTACAAGAAATGTACGCATTGAATATATGAAAATAATTTTTTTTAAAAAGTTTTATTTTATTCTTATTTTTTTAAGTTTATGTTGTTTTATGTAGGGTAAAATACAGGGTATCCCAATATTCCATGGGCATAGATCTAGTACTTAAATTTGGAATCAAAATAGGCTCATTAGACATAGTTTATCTCTATACAAATGTGCTTCGTTTACTAGAGGAAGGCTAGAGGGCATCAAACTTTAGGAAAATAAACACATTTTTAAGATATTCTAATAATCGATATAATCCGTTTTGAATGAGATTTGGGGCGCTTTGCTTTAACATTTGACTTTCACAAAAAAAAGAAAAAGTATTTAGGCCATTCTATGAGCCTACATAACTTCATGTAACAGGAAATATTTTCTGAAAATCAGCTTCGAAAAAACATTTTTTTCTCAAAAGAATCCGCACGGTAGCGTTTTCTTAGACAAAAATTTACTAAATAGTAGAAGGACCATTTTGCGAAAAAAAATCAGTCGTCGGTGGGGTTAGAAAATATTTCTATTGAAATTTATATAGGGGTGGGGATAGTTTTTACACTTTTCGTGCTTTTTTTTGATTTTTGTGAAAGTCAAATGTTAAATCTCTTAGCAAAATATAGACATCCCAAATCTCATTCAACTCAGAACGAATGTTCTTAAAATACCTTAAAAATGTGTTTATTTTTTTAAACTTTGATGCCCTAACGGACAAACGAGGCACTTTTGTATAGACGTAAATTGTCCCTAATGAGCTTATTGTGATTCCAAAAATAAGTAGTAGGTATTGAACATTATTATTAAATAAAGACTCAATTTAGCAATTTATTGTTTTTATACGTATACAGAGTGGTTCGAATTGTATTCGGGAAACTTCGGCAGCATATTTTGCAGATAAAAATAAATAAATAAGTTCCTATAAATTTATGACCTGAAGTGTTAAAATGCTTCGGGTGTAGAAGTTTCATTATTAATTCGGTTTTTACCAAATAATTTCTGAACTAGACAGGGTGTCCCAGAAATAAGTGCAAGTATTTTAACTGGTAGTATAGTTCAATCCCAGAAACACGCCTATGAGGCTTTATCGCGAAAAAAGAAATTGAAAATTAAAAAAAAACATTGAAAAAATTAAAAAAAAAAATTAAAAAATTATTTATAAATAATTTAATAAAAGATAATTTCCTGATAATATGGCAACATAGGTATTAGATTAAATTTACAAGAAAGAAAATCCAGAAAATATCCAGTGGTTCTCAAAATTTTAGCAAAAAATAATTTTTTTGAAATTTTCAAAGTAAAATATCTCCGTTATTTTGGACTTATTTGAAAAACGATAAAGAGAAAATATGTTTCTTTTATTGAGATCTACCACCCCTTAAAATACTTGCATTTATTTCTGGGACACCCTGTATAGAGTCAATATTTGACTCAATATGACTCCTAATTGAGGTGTAATAACTTTTCGTTCGTACTTGTATGAACCTAGTGAGTAAAAAATATACATATATGTATATAGTTATTTTTTTCGTAAAAAATGTCACTTGGTAAAAATCGGTATGAGCAACCGTTCTCCAGATATTTAGAATGGAAATAGTCAATACATGTTATTGACAAAACTATGCTGAGTAGATAGTTGACAAATGACAAAGGAACTTTTTATTTTTTAAAACTTATCATACTTTTTCTATGCAAGAATTATGATTAAACAGTTTCTGTTGAACCTTTTGTCATAAAAATCATTTCAAATGTATTATATCAGTCTAATAACTATTTAGGCAACATGTTGAATTGATGTCAATTATGTCAGGTATTGATAATTTCGACTTCAAATATCTCGACAACCATTACTCGTATTGAATTTTACCAAGAAATCTTTTTTACGTAAAAAATGTTGTAAATTTATATTTTTTTACTCAGTCGTTTTATACAGGTACGAACGAAAAGTTATTACTCTTCAAACCAGTTAAAAAATGTGTAAAAGGCGACCTATACAAATAGGAGTCATATTGACATGAAAATTTATAAAATTATTTGAAAAAAATCGAAATAAAAATAAAACTTACACCCTGTATCTAGTATTTTTATCTGCAGAATATGCTGCCGAAGTTTCCCGAATACAGTTCGGATCACCCTCTATATATACAGAGTATCAAAAAACAATGTATCTGACGTGGCTGGATGTCTTGTAGGAGACCCGTTGTTGATTACAGTTGGGGGGTTGTTACTTTAGCTATTACAATAGTAGAATAAAACAATAATTAACCACAATACACCAAAACACTTTTACTTTTAAACACTGGACGCGCATCTCGCTAACGATGTTAGCATCATGAGCAGATGATTAAAATTTAAGTTTATACAGGGTGGTCCAAACTGTATTCCGGAAACTTCGGCAGCATATTCTGCAGATAAAAATAAGTAAAAAGTTCGTATAAATGTATAAATGTATGCCTTAAATTACTTAATTCATGAAGTAACATCATTATTTGGATGAAAATTTTTGATTGATTAAAAAAATTCTCAAATTTATTATTTCAGGTCAAATAACTATCTACTCAACGTGTTTATTTTTTGTCAATAATGACAAGTATTGACTATTCCAAAAAATATCTGGAGAACGGTTGCTCGTAGCGATTTTTACTAAGAGACATTTTTTACGCAAAAAATCACAGACATGTATATTTTTTCACTGAGTAGTTTTATATAGGTACGGACGAAAAGTTATTACGCTGCAAAACAGTTAAAACACATGTAGGTGGCGCTCTCTACAAGTAGGAGTCATATTGACATCAAAATCAAATTTATCATGTAAAAAACATCCAGACACCAATTTTCATCTAAAATATTGACGTCACTTCAGAAATTATTTGGACAAAATCGAAATAAAAATGAAACTTCTACACTCTGTATCCCCGAATCAAAGCATTTTAGGACATTCATTTATACTAACTTTTATACTTATTTTTATCTGCAGAATATGCTGCTGAAGTTTTCGGAATACAATTCGGACCACTCTGTATATTTTAAATTATTTTTTAGTTTTAAAAGTGTTTAGAAGTAAATGTGTTTTGGTGTATTGTAGAGAATTAGTGTTTTAGTTACATTCAAGTCATTCTAAAAAATATAGTTCTTATAAGACTGTATTTTACAGTCTTGTAAAAAACTGCAAAAGAATTAAATTATTCAGTGGGGGACTTATGTACATCTCTCTCCTGATCAGTTGTTGAATTTATTTATGTTTTACATTTAAGATCACTCAAGCAGAATGTGACTTCTCTAAGATATTCCGAACACCCAAAGATATGAGAAAAGTAAATTTCGATCATTTGGAGATTTTGGAAAGGGCCGATTTTGATCCCTGTGAACCTACAACTGCTTCACCTGCAGGTGTAACTCCAACAACAACAGAAAATCCAACACGAAAAAATATCAAAGCATCAGATCGGAATGTGGCCAACGCTCAAGTTATGCTTAGGTTTGGTGGAGATAATGTAGAAGGAAGTAACAGCATTGTGAAAGTACCACATCAATGTAGACCTTTAGTGGGTAGGTTTTTTACGATTAAAATTTTATATGGATTTATTTATTTCATAGGACAATACAGGGTGTCCCAGAAATAAGTGTAAGTATTTTAAGGGGTGGTAGATTTCGATAAAAGAAATTTTCTCTTTATCGTTTTTCAAATAAGTTCAAAATAACGGAGTTATTTTAGTTTGAAAATTTCCAAAAAAAAAATATTTTTTCAAAAATTTTGAGAACCACTGGATCTTTTCTGGATTTTTTTCTTGTAAATTTAATCTAATACCTATGTTGCCATATTATCAAGAAATTATGTTTTTAAACAAAAAACTAAAAAAATTTCCAAAAATTTTTTCAAAAAATTTAGAATTTTCAAAATTTTTTATCGTGAAAAAAACCTCATAGGCGTGTTTCTGGAGTTGAACTGTACTACCAGTTAGAATACTTGCACTTATTTCTGAGACACGCTGTATAACAATCTAATTTTTAAGGGATCTTAGATAAGTGCAAATATTTTCAGGGATTTAGATCTCGATTTAAGAAAGATATTTACTCTTTACCGTTTTTCAAATATGTAATTCCAAAATATCCTAGTTATTTACTTTGAAAATTTCCCTAAAAAAACATTTTTTGCTAAAATTTTGAGAACCACTGAATCTTTCTGAATTTTCTTTTTTCAAAAGTTAATCTACTAGCTATGTGCCATATTATCAAGAATCAAGAAGTTTTTTTAAATAAAAACTAAGAAAAAACAATCAAATAAACATTTTTGAAAAAAATCAAGCATATGGTTTGACTTGATGATAGTAAAGCTGTCAATGTTAGTGGAATATAAAAACTGTTTCAAAGAATTGAAAACCTGTATAACTGTGTATTAATATTATTATGTAATTTTTTAAAAATTGATACCCAGGTTTTTTACAAACTTTTTGATAGGCATTTTCAAAGCCAACTTGACTCTTGATACTTGACTCTAACTTGATTTTTTTCGGTTATACGGTATAAGGACGGTAATTCGTGAATTATATTCAGATACATATTTACATTTTATACTAGGTATATTAAATATATTTCTTTTGGATATTTAAGAAGATTTTTTGGCAATTCGGTTTAAACATAAATTAATTTTACTTTAAGTTATTATGAAATTTAATTAATAACGTTTTTATACAGGGTGCGTCTTAAATAAGTGCAAGTATTTTTAGGAGTAGCCTATTTCAGCAAAATAAAACACTAAATCACCACAATAGACCAAAACACTTTTACTTTTACACTGGACGCACGTCTCGCTAACCATGTTAGCATCATTAGAAGATGATTAAAAATTAAAACTGTCTCTTTTAAAACTTTTCTTTTTATTGAGTTAAATCATCTGCTGATGATGCTAACATGGAACATGGTTAGCGAAATGTGCATACAGTGTAAAAGTAAAAGTGTTTTGGTTTATTGTGGTGATTTAGTGTTTTATTTTGCTGTTGTAACACCAAATGTTCCAACTCCCAACTGGTGTATTAGGGGTTTTTGCGAAAAAATAAAATTTGGCATTTTTCGAAAAAATATTGATTTTTTTTAAAGTTAATAATATAAGTTAATTATATTATATACATAATTTTAAGTTAAAAACATACTATTTTTATAATATGACAACATAGGTAGTAGATTAAATTTACAAGAAAGAAAACAATGAAAAAATCGAGTGGTTCTCAAAATGTATGCAAAAAACATATTTTTTATATTTTCAAAATAAAATAACTCGGTTATTTTGGATTTATTTGAAAAACGGTAAAGAGAAATATGTTTCTTATATCGAGATCTACCAACCCTGAAAATATTTACCCTTATTGCCTCACATTGTTTATTTATATATTTTGGCATCTTTCAATAAATTAGCTCATATGAAAATACTGACAATTCCAACTTCTATTGAAATTGTATTTTTTTTTCTAATTTTCGAGTATAATTAAAAATTGTATTTGCTCTTTTTTAATTTTCAGGAAGCCCTCATGCAGACTCTAATAACGTCGCACATAATCATAATACTTTTCATCCTTCTTGTCATCCACAATATTATTATCCTTATTCACCACCTGCACCCTACGCATACCCTAATTATTATTATTATTCTCATTATGGAAATCAGTCCCCATACTCCTATGTGCCTCAAGAATATCATAAAAGCAACCTGGATATCAACAGCAATGATAAAAATAAGGAGGAACAGGAAGAACTTAGCAAGAGTAATATCAAGAGTATATTGAATAAGTTACTTAAAAAATATAATACTTTATCGATGAAAGGTAAATCATTCTAACTGATAGATGTTTCAAATTCTACTCTCACCATTGGGACCGGTATGTGAATGTTGCTTGTTATTGTTAGTTGCCAGATCTCAGTGGTGATGGTCGAATTTGGAAAATTCTGTATACTTTTAATTTTATTACAATTTAAATACTTTTAGATCGATATAAACATATTTTCGATAAAAATGACGAATCCACTGAATCAAATAGTGAAGAGAGTAATTTAAAAATGACAATCAAAGGTCAACCTAATCAAGGATTAATCAGTCAAAGGATAAAATCGAGAATTTTGAGGTCGCTGGATTCTAATAGCAATGAAAAGTCTAAAGACGAGACAAATAAGGTGTTGGAGAATTCTGAAAACGATGACTTCAATAACAATGGCAAAGAACACGAAATGAAAAGTAATTTAACTACACCAGAAAATGATATGGATTCCAGAGAATTAGAAGAAAGCGATGAATTTGATTTTTCGAGCGAGAAAAACATAGAAAATATAAATACTCTTTTAAACAACGCTCTGATGACCTACAAGTGTAAAAATTGCAACAATACCAATGAAAATATAGTTTCTTATCCAGCTCTTAATGAAAATATATCAACTACAGAGTTTAAAGAGCTTTTATCTTCCACAGAAAGTTTAGATCTCTCTGAAGATATTGATAAACTGATACAAGTTAAAAACATTTCAGAAGGATGTCTGTGTAAGAAGTGTAAAGAACTGAATTCTACTGAAGTAGATCCAAAATTTATGAAAAGTTTTGAGGAATTGTTGAACTATTTCACTGAAAAAGATCATACATTAGGTGATACAAAAAGCAATTTGGCATTTGTTCAGAAATACTTAGCTCCAATTTTGGAAATTTTAAAAACGCAGTTGGGTCTTTCGAAAAATGATGATAATTTAAGAAGTAATGACGATATAAAAATTTCTTCGAAGAATAACAATTTCCGTTCAAATGAGATTAAATCTTTAAAGAAAGAATCTGGAATACCAACTGAAGAAAGCGTTTTAGACTATCCTAAAAGTAATATTGACAATGAACCCTTTGATGGAACAAAGCCTCAGCTAGAATTACCAGAAATATCAAATGTTTTTGACGCTCAAGCTAATTTCATTAAAAAATGCGATAACAACTGTCCAAAACTGCAAGGGGCAAACGATATTCGAAGAGCATTTTTTCCAATACGAGAGCATGAATCAACACTTACATCACCAAGATATATTAAAGTACTGCCTATTTTTTCACAAGCCCAAAGAAACAGAGATGAATTCTTAGCTCCCAATTTTAATGAGTATTTTACTAACCCACTAGGGCCTGAGTACGCAAGATACATACCTAATGGGGGATTGATATATCCTGTAAGAGATGAAAAAATTGGGACTCAAGAATCTTATGGTTATGTTCCTCCATTTAGGCCTCCAGTTAGTTCTTGCACAGGATGCGGATGCAAATGTTCAGGACCTACTTTCTGTCCTAACTGTGGATACCGTATCAGATAATTAGCAGAAAGAAATATAAATAAGAATAAAAAATACTGAAATAAAATGTTCCTAAATATACAGAGTTCAGAAATGTTATAATTAGAAATGATGGTAGTTAGACATTTTGTCATAAGTATAGTACCTACATATAATTATTTTTATACATCACTTTTAATCGTTTTAAGAACTACTATATACAGGGTGGTCCGAACTGTGTTTCGGAAACTTCGGCACCATATTTTGCAGATAAAAATAAGTAAAAGAGTTCCTATAAATATATGTCCTAAAATGCTTAGTTTCGGAGATACAGGGTGTTAAAGTTTAAATTTTATTTCAATTTTTTTTCAAATAATTTCTGAAGTAGCTTAAATATTTGGATGAAAATTGATATCTAGGAGTTTTTTGACATGAGAAATTTGATTTTGATGTCAATATGATTCCTATTTGTAGGGGGCACCACCTACATGTGTTTTAACTGTTTTGAAGAGTTATAATTTTTCGTCCGTACCTGTATAAAACTACTGAGTGAAAAAATATACATTTCCGTGTCTTTTTACGGAAAAAAATATCCCTTGGTGAAAATCGCTACGAGCAACTGTTCTCAAGATATTTAGAATTGAAATAGTCAATACATGTCATTATTGACAAAAAATAAACACGTTAAGTAGATAGTTATTTGACTAATCCAATGAAATGATTTTTAAATTAATCATAAATTTTTCTGCAAAAAAAATGATGATAAAACAGTTTCTGTAGAACTTTTGGCAAAAACATTTCAAATTTACGATTTCAGTCTAATAATTATTTAGTCGACATAATACCGTATGATCGAGAAAAAACGGCGTCAACGATGGCTATGAAATGAAGATCGCTGTCATTTTATATGTAAATTTATATGGGACATGTCATCGATCGTCATTTCCCAGCCAACTAGACGCCGTTTTTATTCGATCATACGGTATATGTTTAATTTATGTCAATGAAAACAGGTATTGATAATTTCGATTTTAAATATCCTGAAAACCATTATTCGTAGAGATTTTTACCAAAAGACTATTTTACGTAAAAAATGTCGTAGATGTATATTTTTTTACTCCGTAGTTTTATACAGGTACGGACGAAAAGTTATTACTCTTCAAAGCGGTAAAAAAAATGTAGGTGGCGCCCTCTACAAGTAGGAGTCATATTGACATCAAAATCAAATTCCTTATGTCAAAAAACTCCCAGACACTAATTTTCATCCAAATATTGACGTTACTTTATAAATTTCTTTGAAATTAAGTATTGTAGGACATACATTTATACGAACTTTTTTACTTATTTGTATCTGCAGAATATGCTGCCGAAGTTTCCGGAATACAGTTCGGACCACCCTGTATATACAAGGCTTAAATCTAGGCTATATGACTTAATAAATATTTTTTATATTAATACATGTATAACACGTTTTATATCAATAAAAAAATTTTAGTGTTCCTGTTTCTTTTTGTTTTATATTTAATTCCTTTGTTTAATTATAATATAATGTATAATCAAAAAAATTTTAAGATTGACCTGGCTTCGACTTCACATCTCCAATTAATCTAATAGCCCACCATACATTTTGGCCTGCGGATTTAGTCCGCTGACTTGGCCTGTCAAATTTTCTGGTCTATGTATGTTATAAAGATTGAATTTACAGAAGGCGTCCATTCTTCTCAAAGAGACCTGGTTTAAATTAAAAAAACTAGAAAAAAGACTCAAAGGTCGCGTTCATCAGGACCAGTTGATCAGTGAGCGATGTACCATCGATTGGTTGTCCTTCTGAACGTGCTTTTTAGATCAAAATCATAAGTAATGCATATTAAATTGTTTTCACCCATTTTTGGCACAAATCGAGGGGATTAGTCAACCGAGAACAATAAACAAAATGCTTTGTTTTCGTTTTCCAAAACATTTTGTGACATTTGGCGTATGTGACGTTTAATCCATCATGCATCGGTAGCGTAGCGTATTTTAAATCTGATGGAAAAAATGGCGACTGATTCCAGAGCGCTCACAACTAATCGGCGCGTTCAGCAGAAAATTAGTGATCGCTGCGGTAGCGCTACGTCCTGATGAACGCGACCAAAGTCTCGGTCTGAACGTTAAAAAAAATTAAGATTTATAAAGATTGTTTATAAACCATCTTCTACCATCTACCATTATAAAAAGCACACTGCTCTTAGATTATGTACGTGTGTAGATTTTTTAATAAAATATAAAAGAAAAATATTCTCCTTTGGTTTATGACACGTATACAGGGTGAACGACATTTTGTATTCAAATGAGATTTTGTGAGCATATGTAGGTTAATTTAAAGCACTTTTTAAAAATACAGAGAGTTCTACAGGGTGTCCCCAAAAAAATTACACATCAAAGTTGTGTTTTTTGTAATGGAACACTCTATATAATAATTAATTCGGATTTTAGAAGAAAAACCCTTACCTAAATTAGAATTTACTCGGTATAGCATAATAAATTGTTAAAATAACTATTGTTAATAGTAAAAATACGATTTGAGCATATTTAAACCGGCCAGGACAAGACACGAATAACATTACACGATAAAATCTATTTTTCCAAGGCTCCTTGATTAAAAATTAGTATTTTTAACACAGCCATGACTCTCTAGATTGAAATTTAAATTTCAATTTTGTTTTAACCGAAAATGTCAAAAGTTGACATATGATATGGCATTCTATTCAGAATGTCATTTTCTATCGAATAAAGTAAAAAATACCGAGCCATTTAAAAATCAAAAGTTGTAGTCATTTCCGGCGAAACAGGAAGTGACCGAAAAGAATTGAATACGCCAATCAATCCTAATTTATGTTATATACTAACATACCAAATCTCGTTCTTTTATTTGATAAAATAAAAAAGTTATAGGGGTGATCCACTTTTGAGACGCACCCGGTATTTACTTCAAATTATTGTCTTTGAAATAGTCTGTCTATAATAGCAGAAATGTTATATCTTCTAAGAATTGTTTAAATAAAGTTGTTTGAATTGGTTTATTTGATCGATATATTACTATAATTTTCTTAAGTTAAATATTCAAGATATTTACAATGATTTATCTATATTGAACTTTTATCATACATTTTACTGACCCCAGTTCAAGATAACAGAGTCAAAGTTGAAAATGTAAAATTTATTTAATGAAAAGTTTGTTCTATACTAAAAGTTAACCATATAATTTACCAGTTAACTTCTTTTTATAAACGTATTTCTTTTTATACATTTTTTATTAAATCTAATGGAGTTAGTTATTAAAGATCTAACAATAATAAAGTTTTAATAACGTCGTTTTGAACCAATTCTTCAAAATTTCTTTTTACAATTACTACTGAAACGGAATAAAGTATGTAGCTTTGGAAGTAATTTATCATACTAAAGAATGAATAATAAATGCTTTATATTAGTAGGAATGATATATTAATTTAGTAGTCTCTGATTCTCTTAGCTCTACATTAACTATTTCCTGTCAACATGGGTGGTAAAATTGTTCTAGTATTCGTTGCAGCTATTGTTATTTTCCAGGTAATTAACATTTATTTCACTTTATAAAAAATTAAAAACAATGTTCGTAGGATATTTAACTTAAAAAACGTTTCAAGTTAATAAATATTTAAAATACGTAATAGAAATTAGAAACTGTTATTGCATCATTGAATCATCAGCTTGTTATATTGTTTAACAATAAAATTGAAAAGTAAATTTGTATAGTTATAATAGAAATTTTATAGTGAAAATACAGGGTGATTCAGATGATAGGTTAGACGTTTATGGAGAGTGTATTACATAAACTCAGCTGTTCAGAGTTACCCCTTTGATTGAAAATAGTAGCGTCTTTGATATACCGTATGATCGAATAAAAAAGGCGTCAGCGATGGCTATGAAATGAAGATCGCTGTCATTTTATATGTAAAATTATATGGGAAATGTCATCGATCGTCATTTCCAAGCCAATTGGACGCCATTTTTTTTCGATCATACGGTATATTAAATGGAACAGCCGGGGTACATAATAACATTTATTTCTTACTAAATTAATATAAGTTTATATTGTTTTGGTCACCATAAATAGAGACATAACTCCCATGATACATTATTAACAGGGATTATTATACCATCACCCTCTACCTTTTGTAGGCAACAACCAAGAAATACAAAAGAGAGGCATTTTTTTAAGAAATAATATAAAATAAAAATATACACTCATTCTAACTACTCTAAGAATTTATTTACATCATTAATGTCACATATAATAAATTTGCACGAGAACAGTTTCATCGATATCCCCCGCCACTGAAGGTATTTTTATATTCCTTTTGGGTAAATGGATCCACTTTCAGGTGGAAGTAACGCTTGACGTGCTTCTTCAGTTTTTCAGTATTTCTTTCATTTTAATGGAAACTTACTTGAATGCGTGCCCACTTGAATACTACTTGAATACGTGCACGAGAACAGTTTCATCGATATCCCCCGCCACTGAAGGTATTTTTATATTCCTTTTGGGTAAATGGATCCACTTTCAGGTGGAAGTAACGCTTGACGTGCTTCTTCAGTTTTTCAGTATTTCTTCCATTTTAATGGAAACCTGCTTGAATGCGTGCCGAATTTGTGCTAAAAGCGTTTTTTGACAAAAAACTGAACTCGATTGACAACAACCGTCAATTTATAAACAGGTCATTTAATAGAATATTTACTTGGAAACAAACACAATTTCTACCAGCAGCGTTAATACACATACAGGGTGGCGCCTCTCATACGCCGTGGAGGCTCCAAGGAGAACGACGGTTTGTATTGAAATGAAATTTTGTGCGCATATGAAGGTTAAATCAGAGCACTTTTTTAAAATATAGAGAGTTCTACAGTATTGGGGTGTCTCCAAACAGGGGTGTCTCCAGTACAGGGTGTCTCCAAAAAAAGTTACATATCAAAGTTGTGTTTTTTGTAATGGAACACCCTATATATTAATTGATTTTCGGATTAAGGGAGAAAAATAAAGGTTAGTTTTATAAGAGAAGCATATGACTGAAAAGTAAGGTTTTTGACATATTTAACATTTTCTGGAAATAAAGAACAATTTTTAAATTACAATAAAAGCTACCTAAATTGTAATTTACCCGGTGTAGCCTAATATGTAGTTAAATTAACTATTGTACTTTAAATCAAATGAAAACTTGATCCAAAAAGTTATGCAGGGTGAGAC